TCATGGTGTGGGGCTGTTTTTCAGCATATGGTATTAGATAAATTTCAGTAAGTGTGTTCAATACTTTTTCCCTGTGCCATTCCACATTATTACAAATAACTTCATTTCTGGACATTTATGGTTTGATTTCTTTGTATGTATGGATCACTTGGGTTGTTAACGACATCTGGTGAAAATTTCATGTCATTAGCACATCTAGTAATATATTTACTGAGAAAAATGTTGACGTGTTCAACACTTATTTTACCCGCTCTCTGTGATCAATACAAAAAGTAAAACATGTTAGCTCATGCTAGCCTGTTGTCTGAAAAAATAATCCAACTTCTTTCTCTCAAATCCATCAGAATTACCTTTAAATAATTTGAAGACTACATAATAATAAGAATGACTAAAAAATATATACCTGAATAGTTCAGCTGTACTTGTTTTTCTGAAATTCGTTATAAGCTATAAACCGTATTTTTTACTTGTTTACATGAATATGGTCTTTTTATTTGTCCTGATGTGTAAAAACAATAATAAATAATAAAATTAACAACATAGTTTTTAGTTTTATAATGTCACCTCCAATGGCCATTAAGGTTCCCGAAAAGGCTTCAAAAAGTCCCAGGGACCACCAGTTGATAATCACAGTTGTAGCTTGTTTTGCGGCTCTGGACACATTTTATTAATGAGCCAAGTAGCAGAAATGGCTCTTTTGATCGTAAAGGTTGCAGACACCTGTTTTAGAACTTTGTGGGTGTGTTTGTTTACACAGAGCAGTGCATGCTTCAACAGCAGACCACTTTGTTTAAAATGGTCCACTTCCAGAAGCTTTTTTTTATGTTGGCAATACTGACATTCCTATTTTTAACTAGTGACGTGTGAGCTCCTCAGAGCCAAAACCTAGTGTCTCTGCTAACCTCTCTGGGACTGAGATTGTGCTGAATATAACTGACAGTCCACTGGATGAGTTTGTCAAAACCAGCAGCAGACATACAGAAATACAAGAAGTGCCTCTGATTGTCTGCATCCTCCATCTGTTGGACCAAAAACTGAACTCGCCTTGCTCACGTTTGGTCTTGTTCTTGGTTAACAAGTGAAGTGAGTGGGAAAAAAAACATCCTGCGATCATTGTTGTTTATATGCTTAGCTATGCACGATGTGTGCTACGTTGGGAGTGCTGTGGGAGGGCAGAAGGAGAAATTATGAGGAGTTATTCCTCTAGGCTTCCTCTAACTAGGAACACTCTGCGCGACACTGACATCCAAAGTGCCGTAATCACTGATCCACTGTCTCACGTCTTATTGAAGTGTAAACCAGCCTTAACTGGACTGATGAGAAGATTAAAGACATCTGCATTAATGACAACAAGCTAGAGGTGTAAGTGGGAGGGGCAGAACCAGGGAATAAAACAAATGGCTGAAAACACAGGGAAGTACAAGAAAGAAACTGAAAACAAAGAAAATACAGAAACTGGGCATGCAAGATAAAAACAAACTTCAAAACAGAAAACTAAACTCTGAAAGACACAGATGATGACAGCTGTTTTAAGAGAGCAGCAGCACTTTGGTCTGGACCCCACTTCGTCTAATTGTTAGCTCATCAATCTGTGGTCAAAATTAAACCGTTTTTTCAAACTGGGGTTGTTTTAAATCTAAACTTTGGACAAAAAGTAAGGAAATTTGTGTTTAACTTCTCTAATGCTTCTTGGCAATAAATCTTATACTGGAGGAAAGCCTGTTAATTTCTTTTTTAAATGGTGCCACATTTGTAAGGAACATGCATGTGTGGGTTGAGCGCATGAGAACTTTGCCAGAGAGCTTATTTTCTTGTTGCTTGATTTGAGCTTCTGGTGCCCTGCAGGTGCTCTGCTGCCAATCAGGTGCCCACTATAAGATTTACTGCCAAACAAAAATTTCTTTACGTTTTGTGCAAAATATATCCACAACAGGTAAGATACTGTTTGTTCAAAGCCTTTCCAGAGAACCCCACATGAAAAGATCCTGATATAAATTTCTGCCTTTGTATAATAATATAAACAAACTGCAGATCAAGCTTTTATTGTATTCTGAGCAAGAAGTTTGCATTATTTTTGTTTTGTAGAGATTTTTGAAGAGTAAAGGTCAAATGAGTAGTGCTCTACAAATCCTTATGAATGAACTAAACTCAGTTTGGGGATCAGTTTTTGATGCAACTAATAACAAATAGCACCCAGCTACTAATGTTTTGCCTGCCTCTGTAATGACACTGTGCTTTAATGTCTCTAATCTCATCTGTGACCTGAAATGTGAGCGTGTAGCTGAGCAGAGGATCACAGACAGCCGTGGCCTCCTCACGGCTCTGCCAGCTCGCCCAGGCGAAGAGACGACAGGTTCAGGTGGGACCCAGCTGCGGACCTAAACCTCGACCCAAAACCCGCCTGCCATTAAAAGCCTCTGCTCGTGTAGAGCTACTGGCCGGTAGATCTTTATTGACTTACTGTTTTTTTTATTGCATTGCTTTGCATTGTTTATCACTGCTGCTATTGCCTTTTGTTGTTGTTGTTGTTTTTTAGCCCCAAAGCAAAACCATCAGAAGTGGGAAGGAGAGCGCTCAGTGTGCTGGCCCGTCTCCAGAGCAGCCAGGAGCTGCGTAGCTACACAGAGGGTGGTTGAGCTGTCCTGCCCTAAGACGAGGACCGCTCTGTTCCAGGGTTATGACCCGTACGTTGTTAGCCGGGCAGCTCTGTCTGCCAGCCCCACTCCTCGAGTACAGGAACTCAGTCTGCCCCTGCCCCGCAAATGTATCTCCAGGGAATAACTCCGAGGAACTGTCTCCTCTCACTTCATGAGATCGAGTTTGCTTCAGATGACAAAAGTTTCCCGTTTGTTGTGATAGAAATACACGAGTCATCTGTTTTCATTTCTCCCCCTTGGACTTGCTCCTCTGCAGTGTGTAGCCTGCAGTATGACTGGTTTCCTCACGACTTCATTCAAACTGAAATAAAAAGCTGCATTAGTCTAAACCAGCTGTGTGCCATTGCTTATGTGACGAGCTGCTTCATCACTGGAAACTCATTAGACCTGGAAAATAAAGACCTACATTGTGGGAAATGCTCTTAATTTAAAATTGCTCAGAAACACCCTGTGGCTCATTCCTCATGTCCTAATGTTCATCTTATTATTAACCTGGGGCGTGAGTCAGGCGTTGGAGAAATGTGGAACCGCAGTCGGATCAATAAAATAAGTTAATAATAAATAAAAAATCGGGTTATTTAAAAAAATTAGATTAGATCTCTAAATCATGATACAGGCATCAATTACTTGTTTATTGTTTTTTAATACAAAATCAGCACATGGGCTAAATTACATTTTGAAGAAACATGATGCCATGGCCTTAACAGTTTCTGACTCCAGTGTTGTATAAAGTACCTCATTGTGATACTTGAGTAAAAGTACAAGTATCTTATCATAAAAATACTTTGGTAAAAGTTAAAGTCTTCTCTAAAAATATTACTTGAGTAAAAGTACAAGTATCTTATCATAAAAATACTTTGGTAAAAGTTAAAGTCTTCTCTAAAAATATTACTTGAGTAAAAGTCTTAAAGTATCTGATGTTTTTTGTACTTAAGTATCAAAAGTAAATTTCTGACACAAA